AACATTTTTATCTGTGTCCCTGACACATCTCTAAGCTCCGAATTCCTTTGACAGTTTTTGAAACTGCTTGAATGCCATCCAGATCACCTGGAACTACCTTTGGCCAGATGTAATTCTCTTTGATTTAAAAACACATACCACCTTAAACTTGCAAGACATTTTACAATTCTTCCACTGATTTGAAGTCTGCAGGTATCAGGAAGCAGGGGAGGAGCTGACTGCAGCCACATCTGGACTGCAGCCACATCTGGACTTCAGCAGCAGCCTGATTTCTATTACTAGAAATGGTCCCATTAAAGAAAAATCCCAAGTGCTTCTGTTCTGTGAAGGTGACAAAAGACTGCTCAGGAGGAAACATTTCCAAACAACAAGAATGTTATTCAGAAAATGACAATCAGCAGGGTGATAGCAAATTCTTTATGTGCATCATGAAAGTGGAACAAGATTTTGCCTATTGTTGTAATCAGAAGCCAGAAAAGGACTCATCTTTTTTCTTAAAGAAAGTTAAGTGATTTTTCACAATGTAAACCAAAACTGGAGAGGAGCTATGAGGCTTCTTGAAAGGGCAACTAAGCCTCCCTACTGCTGAGCAGGGACCAGCCTCTGCTATCCTAGCTAAGAACTCCACCTCTCATCAGAACACAACAGTCCTGAGAGTAAGTCACACTTAACCCCAAGGCAAGATGACTTCAAGTTACTAAGCTCATTCCTCATATCTGTATGATGGGATGTGTGTGTGTACGTGTGTATTTCTAATTTTTGTTGATGTTGATTGAGTTTGAATTGCAATGAATTAACACTGAGTAAGGAGCTCAATACTAGAAAGTAATCTTTGAAGGCAAAATTAGCATAAACGCTTCTAGAATTCTCAAAATGTACGCTCTTCACTATCTCGTAAAAGCAAAACTATCATTCATTTGTGCCAATTAACATTTTTTCCCCAGGATCTGCTTACTTTCCAAATGAAAACACATCCATGTCAAGCCTATGATCCAACAKTCGAATCCCTGAACCCAACCCAAGGGAGCCCTTGGACAGAGATTAAGGAGCAGAATATACCATAGTGGGGAGAGGCAGAGAAGACGAATCGATTGCATGTATACCAACAAAAATCCGTGAAACATTTGTCTATGTGGTTATTAACTTTAACACCATTGTACAACCAACTCATGCAGCATACTGAATTTTTCCTTTCTAAAGATAAAATAAAATGCAATTAGATCCAGAGTCAGACATCACTTGTGCTTTTTAGTTTTGACAATTCCTTTGAACCTTTTCCCTGACCATCACACAAGAGTGACACCCAAAACATATGCAGCAGACAAGGAAAGCAAGAGTGTCAAGAGCCTGAACTCAAGCTCCCGTTCTTTTTCCCAAGCCAGGAGATCTTAAAATAATCACTAGATCCTCCCCGCATCTCAGGGAACACTTGTTTGCTGCCTTTCCAAGACTACTATGAGAATCAAGTGAGGTTGATAATATTAAGTACTCTAAAAACTTCAAAATGCCCTTACAAATAATATGTTCTTAGGCAAAAAAAGGGAACTAAATATCCATGAATTCTAGATTCATTATTTGTATRAATTAAGGTATACAAACACAGATTTTTCATTTTAAGTTGACCAAAAATTCAATAAATCCTAATGGAAGGAAATAAGCCCATCCAAATCCTGTTAAATTTTATGCTCTCATTATCAAAAGTTGTTGTGTCTCTGAACTGGTACCCTATTCAAATTATTTTTCTGCTCAAAAATTTAGAACTATGTGAATTATCCAAGTTCTATCACTCCCAAACTAGGATTTGTAAGTAGGCACAATAATAGTATCCACACAGTAGGATTGATAAAAAGAATGCATGAATATATGCAAAGCACCTGAGATCATGCTGTTACGTGTTATAGCCATGTGGATGTTTGTACATGACATAGTGGTAAGAATCAGCCAGATCTAGGTTCAAATAATTGCCCCAACCACTATTAGATATGAAATTTTGCAGTCTTTTTCACTGAAAAATAATAGTACCTATCTCATATGGTTGTCATGAGGATTAAAAAAATAACAGGAAGATTGAAAAGATACCTGCACATCACAAGTCAATAATTGGTCGTACTGGTAGTTTTGCTCAGAGTATTTAATAGTTGAAATATGGAAATTATGGAGGGGGATGAACTTTTAGTTGGTTTCTTTAGGTCAAATACAGTTCTGAAGAAAGAGCTGCACCAATCAAAGCAATAGCAAAAATGTGTGTGACTTTAAAGTAGAAAGTGCAGGTTCAATTTCTAAACCACAGTTTCGAGTTTAATTCTGCTTCAACTTAACCACTGCCAAAACAGAGTGGCCAGAAATACAGTTATCCCTGAGACACATATGGCTCATTCCTTTACATTCAATTATTTGTAATTTCAACTTCCCTATAAAGCTTCCATGTCTAATCAATCTAGCAGGCAGTATTATTTCACTAGAACAAAGCCAAGCATTTTTAAAATATTTATATAACTTCCCAATCTTCATCAACACCACTTTTTGCAAACTTGAATGAAAAATGAATAGCTCCTCGGGTTGGGGTTGTGGCTCAATGGTAGGGCACTTGCCTAGCACGTGCAAGGTGCTGGGTTCCATCTTCGGTACCACATAAAAATAAATAAAATAAAGGTATTGTGTCCAACTTCACCTAAAATTATTTTTAAAAAATGAATTTAAAAAAATGAAAAAAAAAAGAATTGCATTGAGAAGATTGAAAAGGAACATCTATCAACTATTATTAATTCAGCCTCCCAAGCTGGACATGGTGGTACATTTCTRTAATCACAGTGGTTCAGGAGGCTGAACCAGGATTGCAGGTTTGAGGCCAGCTTTAGCAACTTAGAGAGTCCCTAGCAACTTAGAGAAACCCTGTCTCAAAATAAAAAATTTTAAAAGGGCTGGGGTTATAGCTCAGTTTGTTAAGTGCCCCAGGTTTAATTCCTGAAAATAATACGTACATAAATTTAACAAAAAAGAATAACTTCTTCATGAGCTTTAAAAAGTTAAGGCATGGGCTGGGGTCATAGCTCAATGGTAGAGCGCTTGTCTCGCATGTTTGAAGCACTGGGTTCAATCCTCAGCACCACATAAAAATAAATACATAAATAAATTGTTGGGGTTGGGGTTGTGGCTCAGCGGTAGAGCATTCGCCTTGCACATGCAAGACCCTGGGTTCTATCTTCAGCACCACATAAAAATATATGAATAAAATAAAGGTACTGTGTCCAACTACAACTAAAAAAATAAATATTTAAAAAAAACTGTGTCCGTCTACAACTAAAATAATTTTTTTAAGTTAAGGCTTTTTTTCATTTTTCATTTCCACAAATCATTTTCATTTTTCATTTCCCCAAAAGAGAAGGTGAAAGTCAAGGAAGATTTTTAAAAAACAAACAAAAAAAAAAACAGGATAGGAAAAGGATCAAAGAAGAATGAAAACAAGGGTCTCTTGGTGTTTTTGAGGACCGACAGCTTAGAGAACTGTCTTCCTCACCTAGGCTTCTATTTTATTTCTCTTGTCTTCATGGCTGAACTTCAAGGACATAAACAAATGTCCTTCCATTTCCTTACTAAGGGCCTGGCTTTCAGTTCCTTTCACTAACCATATTTTAGCCTCCATCATTTTTATTTGGGACCTCAAGACAGTTAAATCACAGCTTGCCAGAGATAAAAGAAATCTTAGAAATCACGTTCCTACACCCATTTTCCTTCCAAGCTGGCAGGATGTCTGAGGACGAGGAAGACTGTGACTTTTCAAAGATCATGAAATGACTTTGGATTAAAACCAGAAAGAGAACTCAAGCCACACAGAATAGCTTCTCCATCTTTGCTGTATTTCAGTATCTAATTTCTTACATTTCTGTCTCAAGTTTAGACTATTCACTCCCATTGCCAAGAAGAACAATCTGTTGCTTGGTTTTTATTTTATTAGCAAAATATTACATCATAAAAGCCACATAAAGTGTGACTCTCAGCATACCTTTTGATAGGCACCTGAGCTGAAGAATAGAAGCAAACTTCTCAATATTGCTTGGTCCTTTTCTCCTTCTATGATTTTCATTGTGCAATAATGTCAGCAGAGATTAAAGTAATTTCACCTCAGTCACTGATTTTTTAATGGTTACTTACTTGCCAGGCATGTAACTAAATGCTTAATCAAGTCATAATAATAGACCATAACTTTTGAAAGGATGGTTTCTTTCACCTAATATACACATGCCTAGTGTACACATAAGTAGTAATAGTAAACATTAAAACAATTTCTGTGTGGAGAAATATCACTGAAATTCCACAAATCCAACAGATACATTCTCAAATCCAAGCAAGAGGAATTACTCAACAAACTGGCTGGTGTCGTGGCTCAGTGGTAAGCACTTGCCTAGCATATATGAGGGCATGGGTTTGATCCCCAGCACCACAAAAATAAATTATAAAGAAAGGAAAACACAACAATCTCAAATATTTCATTGAGATATATCTTCTCTAACTCATCTCCCAAGTGTCAAAACAGAGAAAAGGGCAACAGAATATTCTCCTCACAAACTAGATGCCATCCAGATATAGAGAAGACTGGAGTGAAAGAATATTGGTCTTCAGACATAAGAACCAATGAACTATCTACAGGAGGTGTTAACAGTAACCCTACCCTCACAGGTAATCAGCAGGAAAAATTGCCTCTGAATAAAAGACTCTCCTTATGCTGCTTTAAATTAGAAATTAATTCTAAACTCATTTGTAAAGTCATTGTTATTTATTCATTTTCATTATTTCGTATGTGTGGTTTTGTTGGCAGAACCACCTACATGGTAAGTTTAACTAATACAATGCTGATACATAGACCACTTAATTCTTAAGAGTTAACAACATTCTCCAATGATGATCAAACATGCTCCAATAAAAATATTATAAATGTACCAACTACATGTATAACTATAAAGCTCTAATAAAAATATTTTTAAAAATTTTAAGGCAATTACCTTCCCAAAGTCACGAACATCAAACAGGTCAAATGCTTCGAAGAGTTCGCTTTTCCTCATTCCAAACGTCTCGCAACAGGCTGTGAGAAATGTCCGTATGTTCTTCAAACAGAGAAACTGAGAAATGAAAAAATAGCTATCAGTATAGAGTGAATTATTCCAAATGCTACCAATCTTCTGCCACACCCAAGTTGCTACAAAAGTGACAAAACCAATCCACTCCTGAGGGTGCTGTTTGCTCAACCAGAAGCACTGACTGAGCATCCATTCTCAGTCCAGTAATATGGCTGTGGACAGGCAGGTGAAGCTTACATTCCAACAGGAGAAAACAGACAAGAACAAATGCAGCAACACAGGAGGAAAACATTTGTATTTTCATATGGTGGTTAAAACTGGGAGGAGAGATCCAGAGAGCTGGTAGAGGTAGGTGGGGAGAACTTAGCCAGGTCTTCTTGAGAGAAGGATGGGGCAGAGATCTGAGGTACTTAAGGAGCAAGCCATGCAGAAAAGTAGACAGAGTAACCTAAGTTAAGAAGCATCACATACTGAGGCCCTGAGGCAGGAGTGTCTGAGTATGTTTGAGAAAAGGGCCAAAGTAGAGTGAGTAATGGGGAGAAAGGTAGGAGGTGAGCTAGAAAGGTCATGGGGTCAGATGGTAAAGGGCCTTATCAGACAGCTTTTATTCTAACTGATAAGGGAAGCCATTGGAGGACATGGAACAGATCAGGAACAAAATATGTTSCACAAGGGTCTTCTTGGGCTGCTGCATTGGATATAGATTGGAGAGGGTTAGAGTGAGAATAGGGCAGGAAAACCAGACAGGAGGCTACTGCAATAACCCAGGAGAGACACAACTGTGGGTAGACCAGGTGTTGCCTTGCAACTGTGTTGAATCTGAGATGACCATAAGTCATCCAATGGAATGTGGGGCAGGAAATGGTATGGACTACAGACATAAATCTGGGAGTCTTTAGAGTATAGAGAACACTGAATCATGATGCTGGCTGAGACTACTTTGGGAGAGGAGAGGAGATCTGAGGGCAAGAAACCTTAGGAGAACAGGAGAAGAGGAGGTGACTACAGAGGAGTCTGACAAAGAATAATCAAGGCGGAAGGAAAGAAAATCAAAGATGGGCTTCCCTGAATCAAAGCTAAAAATGTTTCTAAGCAAAGAGAGTAACAAGCTATGTGAGATGCTGCAGACAGTCAAGTAAGATTTATTTATTTTTTTAATTGATTGTTTTTTWAAAAAAGTAAACGACAGCCAAATGCATTACAATTCTTATTACACATATACAGCACAATTTTTCATATCTCTGGTTGTATAGAAAGTATGTTGATATCAATTTGTGTCTTCATACATGTACTTTGGATAATGGTGTCTATCACATTCCATCATCCTTGCTAACCCCCTGCCCCCTCTCTTTCCCTCCCTCCCCTCTTCCCTATCTAGAATTAATCTATTCTTCCCATGCTCCCCCTCCCTACCCCACTATGAGTCAGCCTCCTTATATCAAAGAAAACATTCAGCATTTGTTTTGGGGGGATTGGCTAACTTCACTTAGCATTACCTTCTCCAGTGCCATCTATTTACCTGTAATTGCCATGATTTTATTCTCTTTTATTGCTGAGTAAAATTCCATTGTGTATATATGCCACATTTTTTTTTGTCCATTCATCCACTAAAGGGCATCTAGGTTGGCTCCACAGTTTAGCTATTGTGAATTGTGCTGCCATAAACATTGATGTGGCTGTGTCCCTATAGTATGCTGTTTTTAAGCCTTTTGGATATAAACTGAGGAGAGGGATAGCTGGGTCAAATGGTAGTTCCATTCCCAGATTTCAATCTCTCTAAATGAATATAGATGCAAAAATTCTCAATAAAATTCTGGGAAATTGAATACAAAAACATCAAAAAGATTGTGCACCATGATTAAGTGAGATTCATCCCAGGATGCAAGGTTGGTTCAACATACAGAAATCAATAAATGTAATTCATCACATCAATAGACTCAAAGATAAGAATCATATGATCATCTCAACAGATGCAGAAAAAGCATTTGACAAAATACAGCACCCTTTCATGTTCAAAACACTAGAAAAACTAGGGATAACAGGAACATATCTCAACATCATAAAGGCTATGCTAAATCTCAGGCCAACATCATTGTAAATGGAGAAAAATTAAAGGCATTCCCTCTAAAAATGGAACAAGACAGAGATGCCCTCTTTCACCACTTCTATTCAACATAGTTCTTAAAACACTAGACAGAGCAATTAGACAGATGAAAGAAATTAAAGGGATATGTATAGGAAAAGAAGAACTTAAATTAGTACTATTTGCTGATGATATGATTCTGTACCTAGTAGACCCAAAAAGCTCCATCAGAAAACTTCTAGAACTAGTAAATGAATTCAGCAAAGTAGCAGGATATAAAATCAACACCCATAAATCAAAGGCATTTCTGTATATCAGTGACAAATCCTCTGAGAAGGAAATAAGGAAAACTATCCCATTTACAATAACTTAAAAAAAATAAGATACTTGGGAATTAAGTAAGATTTAGGTCAAGTGCTTCTGTGCTGTTTTCATGGAATTTGGAGTATGAAGGACATGCATTCCTTGACAGATGCAGGTCCTGTGTGGGGACTAGAGTGAAAGGCTGGAGCAGCTCCAGAAACAACAGGAGAGAGTGGATACAGGAGAGAGATGATGAAGTCTGGCTACAAAGGGAAACAGATGGAGCTGGAGAATTCAAGGAAGGGTTTTTAAAAACAATGGCAACTATGATGATGTGTTTCTATTTCAATGGGAGTACCCTGCTGGAGAAGGAAAAGTTAATTAGGAAAGAGCAAGGCACAGAATCTAAATGAAGTCCTTGGATAGGCAAAAGAGAAGGGATCAGATGCTGAAGTGCAGAGGCTGACCCCAGAGAGGGGCATGGTCAGCTCAGTCACACCTACAGGAGGTGCAGAAGGACAGGCAGACACTGCTGAACACTCAAAAACCAAAAGTGAGAATTCACTTTTCATATCAAAAAGACTCAGATTCATCTAAGTAAAATATACACATGTCCTGAGAATGAATTARTTCTTTTGTAGAAGTATTACTTGCAATGGCACACATTTTTAAAAAATCATAATCATACATGTCAAAATTTTAAATATTCTTGCTATGTATCAATTATGCCAAAATAATTTCAAAAGTAAAAACTTAACCTCCAATAAGTGATCAACATCTTAGCTAATTATTGCATCTTTTTTAAGCATGTTTCATTTTGTTTTTCTTTTTAATCTTGGTTTGCTTTTTAATTATGCAGAAAGCACATGTTACTTCCTCTACATTTGAAACATTCAGATTTGTCATAAGCTTAACTTAGACAGTTTTACCCTTTACAGGAATCATCCTCAGAGGCTTAAATATTTCAGGAGGGGTTAAAACCACAAGGGAAGCATCATAAACCCTTTGAAACACACAAGCTGCAGCCAATCAGCACATGCAGTTACTGCTTTCACTTTAAAAATTCATAAGAGACCTTTACAACACAGAATCACTCTGCATGTTGCTCTTCCACATAGAATTGCTTATTTACAGATTAAAAGGCTTGCATTCTGCCAAGACAGATAATAATTACACCCTGGGGGATTATGCAACTGCTSTCTTGCAATATTTTTTACATAATTAAGTGCCGGACTCATAGCTCACCAAGGAACAAAGCATAACTGCAAATGCCACCCTCTGAAGATTTCTCACCAAACTCAAATTTCCCCATGTATAGGAAAAACTGCAGTTGGCTTCTACTAAAGTGCTTTGATCATTAATTCAGTAAAGCTAAGAGTATTACTGAAAGTAAAAACAGTATAAAATTTAGTCATTGTTGCATGCACATAAAACTGAAAAACAGTCTTTCCTCTTACTTCTGGAACAAATGTTAACCTTACTTGTCCCCTACGTAGTTCAATTCTGCTAAATTCAACAAATATTTACTGGATTTGGAAAAAGTCACTGGTATGTTCTTGCTTTTCCAGGCAGTCTTCAAACCTGGTTACCCTTTTCTAATGTATGCTTTCAGTCAATCATTTTTTAATTCCTGCAACATTACACTGGAAAATCTACAAACGATTAAGGATCTGCCTCAAGCTCCTCTATTAAATTTATCAGCAAATTGTCATAATCCTCAAAAGTTGGCTGACCGCGCAAGGCTCACAGGGTCATTGGATGCTCACAGGGCCATGGGCACAAGCAGGACAGAGACATGCCCCTCATGGTATTTTAGAAGTTGGGCTTACCACTCCAGCTTTCATCCTACTTTTCCTTTTTTAGTTTATTTAAGAAAATTCTGAACCAAAAGAAAAACTGAAATATAATGAACATACCCACCTACATAATCATTGTAACAGAGTACCATATAGGCTTTTGTATTTGTACATTTTAAAATTTAAAAAAAAAAAAAGAAAGTATATTTTGCTGAGGCATTTGAAAGTAAGTTATAAATGCATATAAATAACTCAATATGCATCTCTAGGAATGCAGAGATACTTTCCTACATATCAATAATACCTATATTACATCTAAGAAAATTAACAACAATTTTGTATTATCTAGTATATATTCCAAATTCACATCTCCACAATTGTTCATCTCATGCCTTTTTATATTATTTTTGCCCAATCTAGGATCCAACCAAGTTTCAGCCCTTGCATTTGGTGGTTTTATCTTTCAATATCCCTTTATCTAAAAGTCCCAAAGCTATTGTTCTGTTTTGTTTTGTTTCGTTTTTAGTGACATGGACTTTCTGAAGAGCTGAAACTGTTTTATATACTGCCCCACATTCTTCATTTGACTATTTCCCCACAGTGCCATCAAACCTATTCTTCTATCACTTGTGTTTCCTGTGAACAAAAATCTAGGTTCAAACCAAGCTGTTTTGGCAAAAAAAAAAAAAAAAAAGGCTTCATATTCCATATTGCGAATTTCATATTTCCTCATATCAGAAGACATAAAATGTTGGGCTATCCCATTACTACTGATGCTAAGCTCACACTTAGTTAAGATGGTTACTACCAGGACTCTCTACTGTAAAGGTACACATCTCCTTCATCTCTGGGGTGAAAAC